TGCTTAGACTGCTGCCCCCGCGACCCGGCCCCGGATAAGCGGAAGAAAATGGATGGATGGATGGATTACCATATTTAACAGACTATTCAAATGAACATGTTTCTAACTACATACATAAAGATGTTATTTTATTATGTTCTTCATGGTTTCCTACTTCTAAGACCTCATTTTAAACTCAGTTGCTATCACTGCTTACAAATTAATGTGATACAACACTTAAAATTTATTAAAGTTAATGAAGAGGAGACCTACCAGTCATTCAGCCCTAGGGTTATTCAAATCTGTCTGGTCACTGGCATGTAGCCCTTTTGTGCAAGACTATGTTTAAAAAAATGTGTAAATGAAAAAATGCTGTGGACGAGATAGAAAAACAGGCATAGACAGAAACAGAGAGACGGATATATTTGACTTACTTGAGTTAAACCTTAGGACAAAATAAAGTGTGGTGATTTACAAATATTCCTTCATTTCATGGAATATCTTTACATAAAGGGGACTGATGTGTTTGTTGAAGCCTCCTGCCATTCAGAGTCCAAAAATTATTTCAATAGGACTAGTTTTTATTCTTTTGTCCATTTTGTGAAGCACATGTTTCAGTGAAACATGGAACATGGGCTTCACGCTGGAGTGTGTTCAAACTGCTGAGTCACCTAATGATCCATCTGCACCTGTCAGTCTATGTGTCCTCTACTCTCTCTCTGACATGCAGTCTGTCAGTATCTGTTAACTGAGTGTCTTGTGATCCATGATAGGTGTCCTTACCTGTTACTACTGCAGTATCCCTGTCAGTATTACTCCATTCAGTACTTCTGCCCTCATTTCAAGTGCTTCTGACAGGACTACTATGTTGTAATACTATGAAAACTTAGGTTAATAATAGATTGACCTTCTTGATAGCATGAGTCCTGTTGAGCAACTGCTTAAAACAGAAACATTAGAATTAACATGATACCACACAAACTGTGTCTTACTGTGTGACTGACGGCAACAGAGTAACACACACACAAACACCCAAACATACACAGTCAAAACAATACAGCGTCGCACAGTGACACACCCACACATATACATCTTCTAAACACACACACACACACACACACACAGCTGTTGGTCTGCCTTCAAAATAAGAGCCTTGAAATATTCAGAACCAGATTCAATGTAAAGAGGTTAACTGAATGTCCAGTTCCTTTTAAACCTCAGAGCTTTGCTCCTTGTTACTGTGAGCTAGTTTGTCCTGTCCTATCAGGACACATCACATGGCACCGTCAGTCAGACCAGCACAGGCTGGAATGTGCTTGTGGTGGAAAGTTTGTGTCAGGACATTAGGATGTCGCTCAGAAGGATTCTTGATATTGACTATAAGTACCCCAGATTATAAACTGGTGTGATGTGAGTGCTCTGTAGGATGTCAGATTTTCAAAAGAAAAGCATCAGATTGTGACTTAAGCTCACATAAGGCCCCCAAACCAAAACTAACCAAACTATTGTGGGAAAAAAGTGATTCAATGCACACACACAACAAAATGCCAAGAGATGAAATAAGGGCCATGTTTTCCATGTAATTTATTTTCTGGAATGAATTTCAGGTTAGCAAAACTCTGCAAAAGTTCTATTTGTAAAGCATCAAGCTAATAATTAAAACCCAGGTAACAGTTCTGTCTGAAACCACTGACCACAGGATTACTGCTGATTCAACAAACTAATCTGCTACAGTGCCATGTAAAAATTCAGTACAAAACTGCACCAACAGATATTACATCATTGATGAAAAGTATGTGTTTTAATTATTCTGTGATTTACAGACTTCTTTCAACCGAAATCAGTGCCTGAGATTGCAGCTTTGTTCTCCAGGATGCTATGGCAGCAGCTGTCAGTCACACAGAGGTGACGAGCCAGGCTGCCCGCCCGCTCTGCCCAGCCAAGTTCATGAGCACAGGCTTCGCTCATCATCTTCACTGCTCTGAGCACAGACAGCTGGTAAAGCACCTCACACCTGTTTTTAGAGTTGAAAATTAGTAGTATTCCATCAGTTCAGCCAGTCCAGATCATCATCATCCTCGTCATCACCAAACAGAGGGGCAGGCGGTGGACGCCCCTTCATGCTCTGTACACAAACAAGAGAGATGAAAGCATGAATGCTGTCCAACAGTGATGTACTGGCGGGTTTAGCTTTTTAAAGCAGCATAAGAGCATCAATGACTGACTTAACATTCAGACAATACACTAAGGGGGGGCTGAGGCAGTTTCTGAATCAAATCTGAGAGCTTTGATGAACTCTACAGACACTTCCTCACCATCTCATCCTCCTCTTCCTCCTCACTGGGTGCTGTGGGGGGTTTTGCAGGAGTTGTGATCTGGAAAAATTGCTCCTCTCCATTTTCCACACTAATTCCCCCAGTCAGACAGAGAATAGCAGAAAAGGGGTGTGGGGTGGGTGGGGATGTTCAAACAGATGAAGAAGAAAGAGAAAACAAAACAGGGATGAAGCAAGCAAGAAAGTAATAGTTGAGACAGGCAGTTACTTTGCAGGGTTATATGCTTATAATTAGAGATACAGGCACAAATATGTTACACAGCTAAGTTTAAAGAAAATATTACATGATCACATATTTTATTATAGCCTTCAAGGTTTCATCTAACAAAGTGACCAAGTCCACAGGCCAAAAGAGCTTCTTACTGATACCACGAGACTCATCATATCAAATGAAACTGGCACAAACAGTATATACATTATAGTATCTATTGGGTTCCAAAGCACAGCAAATATTTTTCATTTATTCTCTTCATTCCCACCAGTTGTTGGCTTCAACTAACCTCAGTTTGATCATTTGGGACTGCAGCTGTCAGCAAACCATTTTTTTTAAAAACGTGTAATGCATTCAAGGATGCTCTAACAAACAAGAACTAAAACAAAACAAACGGTATGTGAGCACTGCTGTTGAAATTAGAATAATATATACACTATGAAAGAATTATTTGACCATTTCTTGCAGAGTGTGAGTTTTCTTGAATGTTATCTTCAGTAACAGCTTTCAAAGTGGTCGCAGCTTCGACAGCTTTCAACAGCAACAGGTTAAACACAAACCATTAAAGCTTATACTGTAAAACGTCTGGTTCTATAATCAGTTTGACTCATAAATTTAATTATAAAAGGTTTTGGATGAAGAGCTCAAACCAGACTTCAGTTTGATGGCTGTGTAGTGATGCTAGTTTTATTCTGTATTTTTTTTTACATCAGTAAGACTTTGTCTTGTACATTCTTTTTAAGGTTGTTATATTTTTAAGGTTTCTTTTCACGTTTGTTTTATTTGCCCTGTTTTCAGGTGCATCATTTAGGTGGGCTTCTGAGCCACAGTATGACACAGGATGGCACCTGAATCTTGGAACAGGTGCTTTACTGGAACAACCGGAGGTCAGACTTTGATCAGACTGAATATTTATCAGGTTTTACTGACAGCCACCATGGTTTGCCAACAATAATCAGTTATATTAGTAACCACTCATGCTGTGACTCACCTTGTGTCCTCTCCTGAGCTGCTCTGAAGTGCATTCGGTGGTGGAGGTGGGTTGGTTGGGGGTGCAAAAGCTTTCTGAGAGTCAGCATTCATTTCTCCTACATGCTCTCTATCATCCACACTCTCCTTGTCTATCTCTGTGCTGAGTGCAGCTTTTCTTTCCAACAGAGTTTCCTGTCCATCCTCAGGTAACAAACTCACACTGGGTCCATCATCTGGATCTGTAGACTTGTTGGTGTCTTCTTGCTCTGCAGAGGTTTCAGGAACAGAGTGGTCTACCTGCTCCTGCTGTACTTCAGACTCAGGCGCTGCCATCACCTGACCTATCAGCTCAGCTGGTGAAACTGGATGGAGATCAGTGGTTTGTATTTCCTCTGTCTGGGACTGCATCTTGGACTCAGTTACTGTCTTCGTCTCCTCTGCTGCTGCTTCCTGATTCAGCTGAGTCTCACCGACTTGGTGCGTTTCTAACTCAGCCACATGTTCCTTCTGTTCTTCCTCTTTGACTTTACTCTCTCCATTCACATGCACCTTCGGATGAGCTCTCTCCTCTCTCTGTTCAACATCATCACCTCCTTCTTCCTCCTCTTCCTCTGACTCTTCTTCCTTCTTAGGCAGTCTCAGTGAAGCTCTGTCTGTGCCACTGAGCAGCTGCAAAGTCACATTCTGAGGAAAAAAAAAAAAACATATGACTAAGGGATTCACCAAAACATGTCATGTTACAACTACTTACTGTATGTCATTAGGGTTAGATTAATGGATATATTAAGTTCAGATCACCACAGATTTCCACTGATTCGTCCATTTGTAAACGTTAATGGATATATTAAGTTCAGATCACCTTTCTCAGGCCACAGATTTCCACTGATTCGGCCATTTGTAAACATGCCATTAATCACATATATTTTCTTTCCTGACATTGCAATATAAAGGCTGACTTGGCATTTTTGTGGAAAAGGCACTTACTTTAATGGTAGTGACAATGACCCCCAGCACAGCCTGGCCACTGTAGGATTCACTGAGGTCAAACTCCCCACGCAGAGAATGAAACACCCCGTTCATCACCCGCTTCACCTGCATGTACAAACACACGGCTGCCCTCACTTTCACTGCTCAAACATGATGTCCCTTCCTTCCCTTCCTCACTTTCACTGCTCAAACATGATGTCACATGCATTGGCCATAAATATATACCAGTAAAACAAATGTCTACTGTACATAATTCAGTGATCAAACTTCAGGAAAGCTTGTACCTCTACTGACCTTATGACAAGCAACAACAGTGAATATCCTAAGTTTAGGTTTCTGTCCCAATTTAAAAAAATAAATAAATAAATAAATAAATAGGATACATAGTGTGAAGACAAGTTAGAAAACAGTTGGGATAGAGGTGATAATGAGCTATGTCCGATCAGTACTGGGGGAATATTTTTGTACATGAAACACAGCGCTGCACTGGTGAACTAGTATTTTCCTGCAGCACACTGTAAATATTTCCTCCATTTAAATGGTTTGGTATCTCAGTAGCTGATGCATCACTTGGACGCTATCAATACCGACGGCCTTTCCTTTACTCTAATGACTCTCATTATCATCTCTGGGCTCTGGTCCATCTGCAGTCTAAAAAGGTTGATGTAAAATTACACATGTCAGAGCTGGTCAGGGCACATTTGACTGTAGTTTGTGCTACATTACAGGGTTTAAAAAAAAAAAAAAAATAGAGCTCCATATGTTCAATCTGTGACAAACTTAGTCGTCTCATGAATGATGAAAAACTGGAGGGAGTAACTGTGCTGCATCCTCCCTTGTTTGGTTTGTGCATGTTTATATCTGAGTCCTCACCTCTGCTGCAGTGTCTCCTGAACTCTCCTGCTGTGCCAGTTTCTTCTCCAGTTCAGCCACTCTTCTTTCCAGCTTCTCCCGTACAGCTACTCCGTGTTGCTCCAAGGCTGTGCACTTAAAGACATTAGCATATAGTGACAGTGTTTATAGGGAGAGAGATGTTAAACCAGGTACATAAAAAGCATCAAATCATTTTCCTGAGCAATAAAAAGCAGTTGTGTATGTAAGCATGATATTCCACAAAATCCACGTGAAGTGATGTCCCTGCCAAAGAGGACCATTTAATCTAATGAGAAGTGCAGGCTGACTGACAACTAGTCACCCATCTTACCTTTTCCTGAAGTGCTTGCAGCTCGTCAGTCTGTCTGTGTTGTTGTATCAAACTCTGTTCTTCTGACTCTCTCGACTGCTGCAGCATCGTAAGCTGTTGATAATGAGAGAGGCCAAAAATAAGGCCACCACACATCATATATTCACACTTGGATCACAATGTATAACCAACTTTTTTTTTTTATTCTAATTATGGAAACTTAGACTAAAAAAGTCCCAATCCCCATTAAACAAATAAGAAATAAAAGCAAAAAGTTCTCTAAAGAACTGTACATTACACTACACAACCAAGTGAAAAAAGTGGAAATCTCAAAAATATGTTTTCAGAATTTGTTTTCTGTTTTGAGAACTGAACATACAGTATCTAAAGCTGTAAAAGCGCTTTGGCCAGTGCATAAAGGCGCTATATAAATACAGTCCATTTATCTATTGGTTTTTCTACCACTAGTGGTTTTTCTTTTGCTTTCTAGGCATAATAACAATAGCAACAACAAAAAGATTCAGATAGTTAGCTAGTTAGCTAAAAGAGCTTGTTATCCATTTTAGCCTTTTTAAGATAAACTACAATTTATTTTCTTTGACATCAGCTAATTTTAAGCGTTTGAGTTTGTGTTCAGTGGTTTTCATTTGTCCTTACTAAATAAGTTAAAAGTTTAAAGCTTAAGTAACATGCACCAAACAACAGTGGCACATTGTACAGAGGCTCTGTGTTATGGCCTTGACCTATGACCTTGTCCAACATGAGAAGGTAAAGCATATTCCTAACTTCATAAAGTTGCTGGACTTAAAATAAACACAATTTAAAAGAATGACCAAAGTTAATGTAGCACAGGTCAAGACATCAGGGCTTTTAATCCCTAGTATGGCTGAAATTCTAAAAACACTGGATCCTACGTTTCCCCATTACATAATACTAATGGCATCATCGGGCTGAGTATTAAGGAACCAAAATGTGCACAGTTTCAAAAACTTCAAGCCAACAATCAATACAGCAAACTTTCTGATTAAACTGCATGGACTTGTGTGCATGTGTGTGTGTTTTATCCTGACTAACTTGTCTACCTTTTCCTGTAGCTGGGTTAGCTTATACTGCAGAGCATCTCTCTGCTCTGTTAGTTCAGCCAGCTCCCTACTGTGCTGCTCCTTAGCAGAGGCCAACATCTGCTCACACTTCCCCTTCCACTCCTCCTCCAGCTCTGCCTGCAGCTGGGATAACTGAAACCCATACAGACACCAGTAGTCGTTATTTGTCAAGCAATCTTACCAATGTAGCCACTTGAGATGAACACTTTCATAACATGTCTTTTATTAACTGACCCAGACGATATTTAAGGGAGTTCAGAGAGAAGACATCCCAAGTTATTAAAGCAATACAATCATTCGTTTTTATACAGAACATTCCTTGTTGAACAGCCTTTTAATTGGATGCAACCTGCTCAGACACAGCATTGTCAGAACTGGCCCTGGCTTTGCGGAGTTGAGCTCGGAGACTGTCGAGCTCCTGATGGCTATTCTTGCGAAGCTCCTCCACCTCCTCGTCCCGGCGCTGACGCTCAGCCTGCCACTTCTTCTTTCTTTCTGAAAGTGTCTTAAAGGGACGGGAAACTATTTATCAAAATTTACAAGACACTCTTTTATATTTCTTTATTCAGATCCCCATTAGCTGTCACTAGGGTAACAGCTACTCTTCCTGGGGTTCACACACAACAGAACATAGCACATAACGCAACATTTCAAAAACCTGTGCCTCACAGAGGGGCAAAATCATCAGGTATACTTACTCGTTCTAGGCCCTCTTTATCAGCCTTCAGGTCCTGTATCTCCTCCTCCATGTTGGTGACTCTCACTTCCATCTCTTTGCGTCTTTGCTTCTCTGAGCGATACTGGGCCTGAGCCCTGTCTGCTGCCTCCTTCACTTCTGAAATACATACACATATCATGCTAGAATTAGGGTTAGGTCAGGGGTTAGGGTAAAGGTGAGGGTTAGGCATTTTGTTCTGATGGTTAAGTTTAGGGTTTAGGGTTAGGAAATGCATTACATCAATGAGTGTTCTCACAAAAATAGAAGTACAAGTATGTATGTGTGTTTGTGTGCATAAGAAAACATCAGTATGTATGACTGCTACATCTGGAACAGTGTATGCTCTGAGAAACAGGAAGAGTAAAGAACGATAAATTAAGGTTAAGTTAAAGAAGGAATAAGTATATAGCACTACCACTAGTAATAATAGTGAAACACATCCATTACAGCCACTACTTATAATTGTAAAACTTCTTGTAATAATACAAATACTTTTATCCTATCCATTCTGAACAACTGTGCAACTTCTCCTGCTTGAGTAATGTTTGCTAAAAACTAAAATGACTAGAGCGGTTTTTCCATTATAGGAACCTATGGAAACGTGTCGTACCGAGTAACACTCGTCACAGGTTCTGCGTTTGTTTGCACTACACTCAGCCTGTTTTGGAGGTGCATTCTGGGAGCTAAATTTCAACAGCCCTCAGGAGATAGCACTAAAATCAAGTACCCAGGAACATGAGGGGGAGGGGGTGTGTGTGCCCAGAGCAGTCACCAGTGGACTGCCTTGGTTCTGTACCGGAAACAAATTCCTTGTGTGTGTAACTTACTTGGCCAAATGAAGGTTAAACACTGTGTAACTTACTTGGCCAAATAAAGGTTAAACAGCTCCCTAGAACAGTTTCAACAAAAACTCAACACTAGACTATTCATGAAGGTAAAACTGACTGCAGGACTATCTTAGCTTAGTTTTAGCTACAGGTATGTGTACCTAATAATCTGAGAACTAACTGCAGACATGCGCTATCTGAAATAAATGTGACATTTTCAATTATAAGAGCATATTCGGTTTTTTTGCTAATTTTCCAAAATGAACAAAAATGACATCAACTCAAACCTTCCAGCTGTGTTTCCAGGGCAGTGATGCGCTGACAGTAGCTCTCACTGCTCTGCAGCACTGAGTTCAGTTTACTCTGCAGCTCCACGGCCTTCTGCTGATGAGCTGAAGCTTCTAGCTGCAGCTGAGACAGTCGAGCTGTGGACGACGCCAGCTCCTCCGTCAGACGGACCTGATGGAGACATAGGAGAACAGAGGGAGGGGTGAGAGGACAAGATGTACCACTGGCCGTCTACAGTCAATTAAAACCCAGGTCATACAGAGTCAGTGCAACAGCAAAGTGTCAGCCTGGATGAGCGGTCACTGGTGCTAGAAGTGCAAGTAGCATGACCCTGTGGGAGAAAACTGATGAGTGATGACTGATGGGAAAAAAAGAGGCCAAAAGGGAAAAAGAAAAGTAAAGAGTTAGCTAAAATCAGTGAAGTTTGATGTCAAACCGATGATTACAGCAGCAGCGGTTAGATCTGGGTCAAAAAGCAAGTCCACACGATTCTCCACATTTTGCTTCCAAAGGGAATTTGAAATCATTTGCCAAGATTATCTAAATTTACCAGATACTCACAGGAAGTATTCTGGGACTTTACTGGTAAAAGAGGTCATTTACTGCCTCGAGCCTTATGTTGTCCTCCCTCTGAATGAACAACGCTGCACAATTATTTTAGGCATAAAAAGTAGGTTTTTTCCAAGTTTAAGCTGTCAGAGACCAACTGTGTGTGAAGCTCACTGAGGGAGCAGTCTCTGATGAATTTGCGCAGTCTGACCCAGCGAAGCTGCTGATTGGAAAATTTCTTTATGTTTGCACATACTTTGTGACCCAAGTCTCTTGGCAGTACACAGAGAAAACAAGCTCACCTGACCAGAGCTCAGGTCCTGAGGCAGAGCATGCTGAGAAGAGAGAGGAGTAAATGCTAGATTTTCCTCAGAGCAGCACAGCAGTGCAAATAACCAGACAAAGGGCAGCTGGCAAAGAGTGACGCCCTAAGTATTAGCATCAGATTTGTAACAGGAAGCAGGCAGTGAACGATTAAGTCAATAGCAACACAAGTTCCACCAAGTGCATTAGTGAAAATCTTAATGTGAAGTTCAGACTGTGTACAACAGAAGGATGCAGGTACTTTTACTTACAAATCACAATGCACCATTTATCTCTAATACAAAAGAAAATACATCGGTGCCGAGTTAATTTTGACACTGTCTTGTGAAATCAACATATGTGTGAAACCTCAACTTTATAGGAGATAATGAAACAACACTGTTTCCACCTTTGTGCAATTAATTTTTGATAATAACAAGAGACAGCTGAACACTAAATATATTTTATTTTGCTGGTTCTGAAGTTTGAGAGATAGTATAAATAAAACAATTCCATATTAAATTGTAAAGATCCCTGCTTATCTTTGTACTTGAGCCTGGCCAAACCATGCAGGTTTATGAGGCTGATGACAATACTGAGTTTTAAAAGTAAGGAAATCTAATTTACTTTTTTGATCTAAATGTGTATAACTTCAACTTTTTTGTCAAACATCCCATAATTTTATAGTTTTAATAAACACACCACCGCCCTCTGGTGGTGAGAGATGCCATTTCTGAACTACCCCAACATTAGCTTCTGACCTCCCGATTTTCTTTCTAATGACCGAGACCGACAGCATACACAAATATTTTTCTAACTTTATTTAAATGAAAAATTTAAATGTAATAAAACACTGTATTAAATAACTTTTCCATTTTCCATTTGCATCTTACCCTCACAAATCTCAAAATAAAAAAGCGCTCAAAGTACAGGACAAACTTTTTTTTTTACAAACCTCCAACTAAAAATGAAGTCTGATATTTGTAGTTATCTAAATGTAAAGAGGTGCAACATGTAATAGAATCAGAAGAAAGTGTGTATTATTTGGCATTGCAGCCAGTAAATCCCTCGTGGTGTACCATTTGTCAGAGCTTTGGGTTCCGGCATTCCCCCGGAGGAGCTGGAGGAAGTGTCTGGAGAGAGGGAAGTCTGGGCATCTTTACTTAGACTGCTGCCCCCGCGACCCGGTCCCGGATAAGCGGAGGAAAATGGATGGATGGATGGACGGACTGTAGTTTTCCCTTCTCTGAGGTGTGTCTGTAGTCTCCTCCATGTGCTTTTTGTCAACCAAGCACTTCAGATGCACGAGTGAACATGCGCATGAGGTGCACATGAGATCTACATACAGCACACACCATGCTTTTGGTCTGTGTCACTGTGTATGACGTGGACCATTGTGAGTGTAAATATGACCCAGAACACAGCACAGAACTGATCAGCAGTCATGGCCGATCAGGCTAAACCCGACCAATTCGGATGTCTAGCCGATCAATAGGTGTACCTCTAATTCACCTATGATGTGTGAAAACAACATCCCCTGTCTAAAGGTACATTCACAGTGTATGTGGCAATTTGGATCCATCACAAACTACTATCCTACCAACAGTGCTGTTTGTCAACATGGCGAGAGTACACTACCAGTCAAACGTTTAGACACACTTTCCCATTCAGTTCAATGTGCCTAAACATTTGACTGGTAGTGTAAATATAATGCTTGTTACAGTGTGAACGCACATCCAATCTAAAGTCTTCCTTGTTCCCTTCTTCCCCACTGAAGACAAACACTCACCTTGTCCTGCTCGGCCTGTAGTAGTCGGGCATGGTTCTGCTCACTGGATGACTTGAGGGAGTCGTTCCTCTGTTCCAGCAGCTGGTTGCTCTGCTCGACATACCTGGACAACCACAGCGCAGCCACATTACATCCACCTCAGACCCATTCAGACTGAAAATGTTCCTCATAATTTATTTTTAGCTAGATTAATCTGTCTGTTCTGTTCCCAGTGTCAAGATCAAATGACAATATGACACTGTGAAGAAGATACTGACAACTTTCACATTTTTTAGATTATAACATGCAAAATCACGTAGTGGCACATACAACTCTATTATAAGTGCATCAACTGTTTATTTACTGTTTTTATTACTTTTACAAGTTTCTGCAGAAGGAAATTTTTCAAAGGAAAAGGACATCACCTCTGGCCCTGGTTGATGAGCTCCCCAATCTTACGGTTTTGCTCCTCAATGCGAGAGCTTTTCTCAAAGACTTCCTTTTTTAAACATTCATTTTCCTAAAGGCAAATTAGAAGTTTTCAGAACACTTTGTTTTCCTTAGGACAACTTCCAGTACACTGAAACATGCAGTAAGAGAATCAATATTTATGCTAGAAAAACAGCTAAGGAAAAAGCAAGAGTAAGAGAGCCTCCGAACACACAAGGCATCTCACGCTTTAGGTGTGTACCTGGACAATTCTTTGGATGTTGTGCACGATCATGGAGGTTTCCATCGACAGATTAGACACACCTGTTGAAAGACTTCCCTGCCTTTGAAGATCATCCATCTGTTAAAATCAAAAAGGACAAAATAAGAAACGGGTGCATCTCCTTTCTATTAAAGGTGTTTATTGAACATATTGTTGTACATATAATTAATACCTTTAAAGCCAGCTGATCCACTTTATCTGCTACTTTTCCAACAGCTAACCGGATCTCTGTGTTGTGTTGTCGGGCCTCAGTCATCAGGAAGGAAGAGACATCACTGGAGCCTAGAGGGAACAACACAGAGTTTAAGAGTTGTAACAGTTTCTCTGTCTCAGTGCTGTGTAATATTATTACCTACTGAGGCTGCTGTCACAGAAAAGTGCATCATGAAATGGTAAAACTGAGCTTAAACATCAAGGTACATTAACTGTGTCAGGAGCTTAGACTAGAATTTATCCTGCATGCATTCGTCTGGTGTTTGACCCTTGTAATTGAACTGATCGCTCTCACCCATGTAAGGGACAGCTTGTGTAGGGTAGACCTGGCCAACAGGCTGCAGCTGAGACGGAACCACAGAGGTCTGTGTGTAGGGGTAAGGCTATGAAACAACATAAGACACCGATGTAAAGAGAGGTTACCAGATTTTGTCTTTGTTCTATTAAGTAATTAATAGAACAATTACTGATGATAAATTAGCAACAAATGTGATGAAATCTCACCTGAAATGCATGACTGCTGCCTGGAAGCCCAGACTGTGGGCCAACAGTAGTCATAACAGGAAGTAAGGCAGAAGGTGGAGCTGTGTGAGGATGAGGTTGTACTACAGAAGAACAACAGAATGTAATGCATCAAATTTAGTGCATTTACAGAGAAAATGTAAAGCATACCATTTATCATAATAATGTGTATCCTTAGCAATTCTGATTTGCAGGAAGAATGGACATATGAAGAAGTGGAAGTAGGTAACCGTGTGCTGAAGCTGGAGCAGCACTGGACATCTGCACTGGAGACTGAACTGCAGGTTGATTCTTTGCTCTGCTGCCACTGGTGTCCTGGAGATCAACACATAGTGGCAGTGAGTCAGTAATGACACCAGACAACATGACACACTACCAGGATTTTTAAATCATGTATCCAGGTTAGGGGTTTTGCAGGAGACAGATTTTTTTTTTTTTAAACATATCCTTACTTTAAGCCACTTCAGTATGGGTCAAGCTCCAAAAACACTAGATCTGATACGCCCATAATGTAACCTATAAATAGCTTTCATTATACTCTTGTCATCTCCCAGGTTGGGACACATGCCTCTTGTTCTTCTACAAATTAAAAAACTGCTGACTCAAAGGTATGGCTTACTGGGACATAGATGCAAAATGTTTTTCATACAACTAAATATTCCCCTTCTAAAGGTTCTGAGCAAGCTTCATGTCCTTCAGAGAAGGCCAACGTCAGGGGTGGAAGCTCACTGACATTTTATATGCGACTTAGTGATAAACAGAAAAATTGGGATAATTGTTAGAGGCATGCTTTGCTCTATGAAAGGGATATGCAGTGCCATACTAACAACACACTTTAATGTACTGGAGTCCCTTTTTGCAGGTTTTCAATTCAGAAGATTTAAAACACAATTTAGAGTATGTGGGCCTGAGTCACAGAGGAAGATGACCTATCAGGCTATATCAAACTCTGGATACAAAGACAGCACTAGTTAGTTCCTCTCATGGCTTTTATTGATAATAAAATATGGCAGACCTTTCCTTTACCATCTACAGATAATAAACCTCTTCTCAAGTTTCCCACCTCGAGCTCTGAGTCACTAGATTCAGGATGGCTGGCCACTCCTGTCAGAAAGGGTAACATGGGCTGGCCCATCTTTGCCATGCGAGAGATCAGCCTGGCTTTAGTTGCATCTGGATTCTGAATTTTTGGGGAAAAAAGCCACAACACTGCTACAAAATAACTGAAGGCAATTATTAATAAAATGCTTAATTAACTAGAAAAAGCTATAGTGAGGGTGCTTACTGCCAGCTGTTCACTGAGAGAGTTTGACTTTGCACGAAGTGGTGGCTCCCTAAGGAAAAAAAAAAGGTCACAGACAAACATGCTTATGACATAAAGGAGTTAAGGGTAATGCTGTTAACTACTTCCTGAGGGCTAAATCTCACCCTGGTCTGCCTGGGCCTGAGGTGGTCGTCTGTACTACAGGCTCTGGGGCCACACTGTCCACGCTGGGGGCTGGGGAATGAGCAGGAGAGGGGGCCGCAGAGTCTCTGGAGCCAGCACTGGCCCGATCAGAGGCAGTGTCCTTGGCAAACTTCACCTAAAGCACAAAACAAGCAGAAGAAGCTTCAGTTCAGACTTCACTGACATTACATGAAAGTAGGACTAAAGAGGTCATGACAGAAGTTACAACAGGACATAAGGTAAGCTGCATGAGCAGATGAAAGAAGAAGTAAAAACTGTTCGGCAGGTGTTACCCGTCGAAGTTCAGCTTCAAAAATCAGGGTGCTGTTGGCTGGGATGCGGTTGGGGACTTCCTTGGATCCGTAAGCTAGGCTAGGTGGGATGACAATCAGACGACTGCCTGCCTTCTTCATCCCCAGCATCCCTTCCTCCCAGCCCTGCACACAGAACGACAGGAAGGAGGGTTATGAGCTGATAATTAACACGATTTCTCTTAAGTCTTTTAAGGTGCTCCCTTCCTCCCAGCCCTGCACACAGAATGACAGGAAGGAGGATTATGAGCTGATAATTAACACAATTTCTCTTAAGTCTTTTAAGGTGAGGTTAACTCATTTCAAAACCCAGTGTTACCCCATTCAACTCTTCCAGAAGACCGTAAGCCCACCTCTGATGTACATTACTCAGAGGTTAGTCTTGGGAAGACTGAAGTAAAGGGATACAAAGCGAGAGAACAGTGAGAATCCACAGTCGGCCACAGCTACACTAAAAGTACTAGGTACCTACTTGTGTGTGTTGCTACTGGTACTGTCATATAATTGTTGCTTTTAAGTAATATTTATAATCTTATTTGCATTGTCTGTGTGAATTGTGTTGTGCTTTGAACTGCGTATGAAAATGTGCTATATAAATAAACCTTCCTTGCCTATTATTCATTTTCAGAAGAGTAAACACCCTAAAGTCTTATGTCAGTGATGACAGGTGTAAATAATAATGTACTGATAAAACATTAGCGTAATTATACACTGCAGATTGAATGAAACATTTAATTTACATTTGTTACCCTGCCACACAGACTTCATCTGATATCCTGAAAGGAACTAACATCTGTCATAACGTCAGTACAACTTGAGAAACACAGAAATGTGGTGCAAAAATGTTCACTCGACTTCTGGGCTGAATTTCAGAGGGGAGCTCTGCTTCATCAAAAGTCACAGCACTTTTCCTCCCCAGAAGACAAAAATGTAACTTCATGTTTGAGAAAATTTAGATTATGTAATGTTTTCTATGGATTTATTTTGTTTTGTTGTCCATTTTTTATTTTCTGTTGCTGATCTTGAGGATTTCTGCTAACTGTGTAATGTGTCTTAAAAAAAAAAACTCATGTCACATGAGCTCTGCTGAAGGCTTCACACCGAAACATGTCGGCAGTTTTGAATTACAAGCCAATCGCATGCAGCATCATCAGAAACACGAGTGGAGTACTTACTATACCGCAAGATGAAGTGGTCACAAAGTCATAATAAGTGCAATAACACAAACCAATAGCTAGTATACACTAGAAAGATGCAGAAACATTTGGAGTATTCGGATCATATAAGTAAGACCTTTCCTGTAAAACCAGTAAACTGAACTGCACAAAGTGTTGGTGATCATCATATCTACAATTCTCAGATTCCTCTTCCTTATCCTCTGAACGCACCATGTCATGCTCAAGAAGCTTGACATTATCAGCACAGACTGAAATGAATGATAATGATAAAAAGTGGCAGAATAAATGATTCAATAAGAGTATTTTGTAAAGTTATAATGACTGTATTAAACAGGTGTTTTCATGGGGACTGAACTCAAGCTGCAGTTCTTATTCAATGCCTGTGTTTTGACTCACTTTGATCACTTTTCCAGCTCCAATTTTCAGTCGTAGCAACTTATCTTTGTTCTGGTTAGAGTCAAACACCTGAAATGACATTTACAGTTCAGAGTTATATGCCACATGGCTAGAAAATTCACAGGAACTGGAGACTAAATAATGAAATTAACAATTCCACCAATGATGAAAGTGTGTGACCTGGCCGAAGGTATGATTCTGCAGCAGCCAGCCTATGTACACCACCTCCAGAGAGTCTCCATTCTCCACCCCCTGGCCCTCTCCGAGACACAGATCCTGAACCACCACAGCGTCTAAGGAGGCTGCGCTGTTCGCTTTCGCCAAACATACCTGATGCACATAAGAGGAGATAAGTCATTGTCTGGTAAACAACATAGCTCATGCAACTGGGTAAAAGCTTGAATCCAGTGTAGGTCAGACTGATAGAGGTTTTGAAGATCAGTCCTAACACTGGTGGACTTTGAGCTGTCGACACAAACGGTCTGTTTGCTTAGTCACTCGCCCTGTTTGTCAGAAAAACACAGTCTTCTCCTGTTTCATTCACCTCTTTGCAGAAGTTTGATGAGATTTTCTCTGATTCAAACATCAGGGACCAGTTCTGCCTCTGATCATCATAAAAACTGCAGTAATTGTTTGGCTGTACCTGCAGAAGAGATGGAACACGTGGTCAGAATCACAGAAAAGACAGACTTGCTCTCTACAAGTCTGCATGTCACACTCTCAGAGTTTCTTCACTGTTCCTCTTTATAACAACAGCAAAACTGGAACATGAGCACAGTGGCAGACTGATAGTCAGGAGTGTTATCCTAACTTTGTAAATGTTTAGCGATAATCAATATATTTCAAATAGCATTTATACATTTGTCCAAAATGTCTTCATATTTAATTTAGGATTTATTTAATATTTTGTCCTTCAGTATAACACTGAGAAACCTGAAGCAATGGGAAGAAAATGAGCAATTCCCTTTTGTCCAAGTGACCTGATCCTAAGGAGGAGGGACACATTGGACTGAAGGGCTCTTTATGTAATACAAGTCACATGTAGACTTGCTTGTACACGATAACTGACAGGTGGTCAATACATGTGTGTAAGACGTGTTGCTTATAAGATTTTTGAGACATAATGTCGGTTCTTTTCTGTCTGAAATAAATCAAGGCCCACTTTATCCAAGCATTCATCCTCACTCATCAATAGATAGTTTGCCCAGTTGTCACCCAGATAGGTCATTTATCATTATGTAACTAAAGGATGGAGCCTTGGACACATTGGGTCTCACTCACCAACATCTTCCCAGGGTTTTCTTAAAATTCTTCGTAGGTTGTTCTCAAGACAGGTCCTAAGAAAAGTCTACATCTGATTCATGAACGTGTTCTTTAACCACAGAATTGTTCGTGCCTGTGTTCCAATATTGATGAATCCCATGTGTCTGTAAGTTGAACGCTCGTGCCAGTTGTTCTTAATTAGCACAGGTTAACGCCCTGGAGAGGGCATGAGACTGCAGGGCTGGGTGCACACGGGAATCTCACACAAAGAGAAGTTGAAAAAGCCAGGAATGTTACAACATAAGTCTAAAGACGGTGGAGCAACAAAATCCAAAACAAAGAAAAACTAGATTGTTAAGAAGTGGAGAACAGTGAATGAGCTGCCATACATCAGTATGCATCAGGAGTGGATAAAAAATAAAACAAAAGACACTCACAGGATGCTCTTACTCGTTCAGTAAAGGCTGTACAGTATAAGGAGAACAGTGCACAACTGATAAGATAAAAAGATGGTTTTTTTTTTTTTTTTTTTGTCATTGCATGGAAAATTGCTATGGGGTTGGTTAAAGACAGAGACTGCTCAGTTGAAGGTGCTCAAAAGGTGCCTAGCTCCAGTCCAAATGGCTCATCTGACCATCGTTATGCACACAGAATAACACTTGAAAGCAGTGCATAGAACATGATAAATAAAAAAATACTCGGCACATGTGCCGATCAATCATGTTACAGGTATTACTGACAGCAGGTAAAGTCAGGTAGACCATTGCATCAGGCGACTCACAATATGGAGTGGAAATAATATGATCTGCTCTTGAGGTGTGTGCTTTAGTAGATCTGATGCTTCTTCAGGCCTACTAGTGAAAATATATTTTGATTTAAGACTGAAGTTATATAGAATGAGTAATATGCAGATTTTAACTATGGCAGGTACTAACACGTGCGGCTATACATGCAGGCTGTAAATGAAACGTTGCTGTTAAAAAACTTTAAGTGGCTTTTAACACCGTTATGTCCATCCAGGATGCAACATAACATCTTATGGCCAGGCATTATACTGTCTCATTCCCACACATAACTATGTTGTGGCCACATTTATTTTCTACATAATGTCAGCAGAGGGGCTCCGTACTTTGGCCTTCCCTCTGTTAGAAAGTTTTTTCAAGCCTAGAAATTATCTGCATGTGTTTCCATACTCTGTTCAACTTCCCAGCCATACCCATATCATGTCCTCAGTGAAGCACAATTCCTGTGACGCGTCAGATTCTCTGTTTGTCCATATGCGTTCAACATCCTTTCTGTCTCTACTCACCGTGAAAGCAAAGCCCACATGAATCTTGGCAGTGGTCACTTGTTTCTGTTGGCCGAAGTACAGAAGCAGCTTGTACTGCAGAATAGAAAAGGTGCATTATTCCCAAAAAACCAAAAGTCAAACCAGTAATCTCAAACAAGTGACCAATTAGCAAAGCTCCAACCTCTTTTGTTGTATGGTTCCCCAGTACGGCTGCTCCCAGCTTTCCTTGCTTCACATACTGTCCATTAATACTTCACAAGACAAAAAAGGCAGAAAAGCTTTGCATGTGACTTGACTGTAAGACAATCTGGTGGATTGTGACTAGATTTATAACAATTATCAACATGTTTTAAGATCTGTAAAGAAAGTTCCTTAATGGGGAGTGAATACTTTCCATCCACAAAATTCTTATGCTCGTGTAATACATAAAAAAGCTGAGATACAGTTCAATCAATAAAATAATGGCTTTAAAATATTAAGAAGAGGGTCCTTACTATCTGAAGGCTTGGACCGATGTGACGAATAACACTGCAGGGGCTCCAGGTGATGCAGCTGGTTTCTGGGTGGCTGATTCAGTAAACAGACACAGTTCAACCCCCATATTGTAAAAAAAGATCTTAACTCATATTTGTCTGTGTTGCGATGGTCCTACCTGGATTAGAGATCTTTCTGGGCTGTTTGGGTGCTGTGTACTGGAACGACTCATTCCCGTGACTGAATTCCTGGTCCAGCCCAAACAGGGAGGCCAACTTGGCCCTGTGTGGAGGACAAATATAAAGACCACAAAGACGTGGTTATACTTGCCCTGAAAAGTATGATGTAGAGTATTATCAGCTGGTGTCTGTTTCGCTCTATGGTTACATTCAAAGAATAAAAATGTCCTGGCCTCAGTTTAAGATATGGGCTCTGACACATCACTGACTGCACAGTAAGGCTCGCTCCTGCTAATAAGGACACAGCTACTCGTACAAGCCAAACTTCATCTCAGGGATTTCAGGCCTTACTCTGTCACTATATGCATTCCATCTGCACAAACATGCTAATACTTATCAGAAGAACTTCATCTCACATCCATAGTTCATTATCAATTAGTGGGTCCAAGGTAAAATGTTTAAATAGCTTTTTTTGTCTGAACAAAACCCAGAGTTTTGAACACTCGTGTTGCTTCATGAGAAAAATTCAATCCATTGAAGAACACTGACAAAAAAAATGTATGAAACTTCATTCTGGCTCATCTGCCTTAAAAAAAAATAATTCAAGGTCCACATACTAGCTGTTTCTGAGCTTGCACCAGCACTTCCTGGTGTTTCTCAGTGGATTAGATTTGCTGAGCTACATAACACACTCCATTACAACTGTGCAGACTCCATCCACTGCAGTGTGCGAAGCTCCAAAAACACTAGTGAGTAGACCAAGAGTTAAGTTTGGGTTGGGTTTTTTTTTTTTTGGTCAACAGACAGGATCAAACCTAAAAGAAACAGAGCAACATTTCTGAAAGCATTCTGTGGTTTCAAAACAGCACAGGTCTTGGAAAACAGCTTACTGACCCCTGGAACTCCTTCCACTGGTAATCACTGCTATCTCCCAGAAAGGACATATTGAAAGCCTTGAGGCCATCATCTCCAATAGTTCAGCACAGGGCTGAGGATGAGCAGTCTGTTTGAATGTCTAACGCCTTCTAGTGTAGGTTCCAGTGCTCCTGTCCTGGGCCATCCCTAGAGCTCACACCACCATGGTAGATTTACTACCAGCACAGCAGAAGAAGAAACTGGAGTGCTCCAACTTAGTGTTGGTCTCCACTAAGCAGAGATGGGCTGTGATAGAAGCCTTCACTTTACTTCTCCAACAAGCAGCATGTGAGAGGAATCATGCGCCATAACAATCCTCCCTTCAGCCAGCCCAGGCCCTACACTGGCTGCTTATCCCACCAGCTCATACACACAGTGCTGCCATCACATAATGCTCATTTAGTGCCAAAAAGCACAGCTCAGATGTCAGTCTGGGAATGTGAAAAAGCTGTATCTGAAAGCCAGATTAATGAGAGGCAAGGTATACTAATATTATGGGAGTGTGTCTTGTAACAAAACAGGTTGGATTCCTGAAACATCTGATTTTGTTTGTCAACTGCATTTCAACTTATATAGTTATTTTAATGATTCATTCTATATTCTGAGGATCTCTGAGCACACTGTGCCAGCTCTGCATTTGATTATAGAGATTTGTTTTACTCAGACAGTGACATATCAGAAGAGCCTATGTAGCTAAGAGGCTAAACTATACATGCGAAATCAAATTCAACCCAGGCCTGAACACAGCAGAGATTATGAGAGATTTGATTCATTAAAATAACCTGGCAGTCAGTGGACACATGGGAGTATGTGGTCTCTCATCACCAGGACTGAAGCTGAGATATCGTCCTATAACTATAACTAGTTAAGCTGCGTTAGTTTGTAACAGATGCTAACAGAAACTGGATAAGTAAGTTTTCCAGGAATGTTTCCAATTTGCAGATATAACGTTAACTCTCTTAAGATGAAAGGGTAATGAGGTTAATTTCATACTCAGCAGGACTTTTTAAATACCAAGAACCACTTTCTAATTCGGCACATATATGTTATCCTCAAAGGACTTACATTATACAAAATCGTATCCTTCTGAGGGGGTTCAAATGGTTTTCATTGGCATTTTAGTGCAAGAACGATTACAGTCACAACAACAGTAATAATAAAACGTTTACTGAAATGTAAGCTGAATAAGAGAACAACTTAAAAAGACTAGTCTATGATTTCGGATATCTTCCAGGTATTACCTACAAATAAGCTCATATATTTAGAAAAGTTTAAATCAAATCTGGCCTGTACACGAGCACAGCTAACTGGGCTAGGTGGTGGCTAACAGCTTTTGTTTGGTGGATAAAACAAACTCACCCTCCTGTCGGAGACAAGAAATCTCCCTCTTCATCATCTCCACCGAACATTGTTGACGTCTGAAGGCTTTTCTTTTTAAACAGAATAAATGCAAAAACGAATTAGCAATTTTTACATGACTAGTTTGTTGAATTGGGACTTCCCCTTCCTGTTTATAGTAGAATCAGCTGACTTTCCACCTGATCCGTATACAATTAGCACATGCTACCACTGGGGGGCGCCAAACACCGGTATTGGATTTCATAATACTTCAGCCCTCAAACACTGGCCTTGGTGTTCCAGTCATCCAGCAGACATGGTAACTGTCAGGGGGATGCTGCCCTTTAGCCGACCCTGACCTGTGACCACACAGAAGGGTTTTCACGGGGAGGAGATCATCATTTGATATAGCTAGAATCAGTAATGAAATAGCATAAATATAAATTCAACATGAATCAAAAACTAAAAACTAAATCAGTCTCAGAAGTAAATTATATTGGAACCCATGTTTGGAAAAAGGAAACTGGAGATGACTGTATGTTTTTGCTTAATGGGGTTTATATTCCTAATAAGGCCAATGAAGATTTATATGTAGCATCTCCAGCTGTGGATATAAGTGACTCCAAATGAGTTAAAGAAACAACAATTCATTTGTTCTCTCAGTGCAAAATGATTCTAATATTTTTAATCCCACTTATCTTAGTCATTACATGCACTTAAATTACATGTACTTAAATTTGATACAAAGATAATATGAGTGACAAGTCTAGAAAATGTTACTTTCCTATTTTTCACAAACATTTTTCTGTTTCCAATATATTTTTGAAGAAACATCTAAGACAAATTAGTCATCTATTTTGCAGCTACATTTTCCTTTTTTTATATTTAGTTGAATGTTATTTATATAAGGTAGACATATAGATATTTAAGTAGAGAGACAATAGACTCTCAGTGTAAAACTGGCTGACAGAAACTTAGACAGATTTCTCTCAACATGAAGATGCAGGAGGCCCATTAAACATATTTCACCAAATGAAAATGTTTGATTCTGTGTGTGAGATATGGAACAGAATTGGTAGGTGCATGTTTTCCTATCATACTAGGAAAAATAGATCTAATTACACTGACACGATTACAGCCACATTTCCTGCAGTCACTGTTAACTCAGTCTGTTCTCCTTCTTTGCCAGGTTCATTAAAAGAGTTATGTTAGGTAGCTGAATTCCAAATAGCATTTTGATCTGTAATAACATAGCATCAGTTCTATCAACACATAGTTATAATAGAATCTAATCAGATGCATGACATGAGCACTGGTGTCTGAAGTCCACAACTGGTGCTCTGTTACTAAACTGCTGCTCTGTTCTGAACACAGAGGGATCCCTGCTCTGTTGCTCTTCCAGAGGTTCCTTCCATTTTTCCCCCGTTAAAGGTGATCTAAGGACAGAGGGTATTGTATACTTTGTAGATTGTGAAGCCCTTTGAGACAAATTTGTAATTTGTCATATATTGGGCTCCAGAAATAAATGTCTCCTCCCATCCTGCTACATCCTTTTCTGTCCTTCACTCCCGTATTTCACCCTTGGTCCTGAGCAAACCGCCATCATCTCTTTTATTCGAATATTGTCTCATTCATTGCTCTGAGAATCTGTTGACGTGAGGCACATTCAGCATCTTTGCTGTTGTTGGTGCTGGCTGTTGGTACTATATTTGTTGGTGGCTGTAATTCAGCTCTGTAAAACTGACAACTGTAACAACAATCCATTCTTCAATGCCTTGCAGTTCATATACTGTATACCACTCATCCCCTTTTAGCCATGTTAGCAGCCTGCTGATGGAGACAGCAATGGCTGTCTGTCATCTGGTTCACCACTTTGGTCCAAACTGAGATATCTCAACAACTATAACATGGATTTCCACAGACTTTGGTACAGATATCCATGGTCATGAATCTCCGTGACTTTAGTGATCCCCTGACTTTTCCTCTAGCTGTAACATGAGGCTCATTAGAGTCCCAAAGTCAAAAATTCAACAAATGAATTAGCTATATTTAGTATTTATTAAGAATAAGTAGATTTAAGATCTGCCTAAAATATAATTTTTGTATCTTTAAAATATGAAAGTCTTAAATTCAATCTTAAATATTAAAATCTTTGAAATAGCTTCATTATTGTGATGAGTTTCTGCAGAATGCTAAATCCTTTAATAACGTTTGCCACTTGACAGCATTATTACATTTTAGTTATATGGGTGCCTTCACCCCTCACAGCTCCCCATCAGTCAACACATACACACAGGACAATTAAATATAATCCATCTGCTTTACTCTCTTTCTGTATTTACAGATGATCATTTTCCAGCAATATTACTTTAAATTTATGGCATCCCAACCATTTTTTATTTATCAAAATATACAAAAATAAAATTTCATCTGTTTCTTCCTATATCGCACTTGGTATCAGTCCATGCCATTTGCTGCATGCTAGGAAGAGGTACGTGATTTCCTGTTCCGCTTTGCTCGACGTGTGGATGGAAATTGGATGAACTCAAAGTGTTTGCTTTGGTCAGTGTTGGGGAAGGGAGGCGGGCTGTTGTGCAGCCTCTTGATGAAATGAACTTCTCTCTGGTTCTCTCTTGTCCCGGAGGCTCTGATGGGCCTCCCTTTCCTGGTGAAAGCCACAAACCAGCCCTCATACTTGACATTCTGGAAGGCCGTGTAATTGTTCTCTAGTACAATCTCTGTGAAGATACAGTCCCTGCTCCGGCCATTGGGCTGGGTGGGGAGACAGAAAAGAGTTCTTATGTTAAAGCCGCACAGACACAAACTACATGACACACAGACTGAAGCATGAATTCTGACTGGTTTATATATGCTTCAAGCAAAGTTATTAATGGATTTCAAGGGGAAATTATTGTATCAAAGAGCTGTATTACCAATATATGAATCATATTACTATCACAAATAACCAATGATCAACGCACACTATGTTTTTCATGTGAGAAAATAACACATTCCTCCTTATGTAGATGAAAAGTTAAAGTTCTAAGCAATAAAACACATTCTGCACTAATTCAGCACACTAAGAGTTTTTGCTGGTACAGTCTTACTTGGTCTAGTATGACCAGTAGCCTGTGGTGGCTCACTGGAAACTAACATTAGCAAAAATTAAATCTAATGGACAATATTGAGTCAGTTACCATTGACCACAGCTGATACTTTTAGCCACAGTGGCTATTTCTTTTAACAATGTAAACATGGCTAGGGTTGTTAATGCAACACTTTATATGAAATGTACATTTCTTCAGTTAATTTCTGTTAAAGGAGTAGTTTGACATTTTGAGAAATCTGCTTATTCACTTTTTGCTGAGTGTTACATTAAGGGAATGATCTACCACCGAAGGCCAAGCTGCGTGGCTCTGACCTGAAGTAACAAAATTCCATCTCTGAAACTCACTGCATCTAATTTGTTTAACAAAAACAGTTGGGCTTTTTATTCTCCTGTAAAATCACAATGTGGTGTTTTGTTTTTAACTAATTAAACAAGGTAGATGAATTGTGTTATCCCTGGACAGTACCAGGCTAGCTGTCTCCTCATATTGTCTTTTTAATGCTAAGCTAATTGGCTGCTGGCTGTAACCTCATGCCGAAAGTGAATAAGTGTATATACCCAAAATAAAAATGTTCGTTTCTTTACGTGATGCCTGTCAAGCTAAGAACATATGACTCCAAAGGCAGGCAAAATATATCCGAGAAGAATAAAAATAGTGTTGAAGCCTATTGCATTGCTTTTCCTAAAATCTTTGATGTACTGTAGCTGATTAGCAAGTAACCTGTA